ATGTCCTCCCTTGCAGTCGTCCCTATGAAACTCTGAAGCGCCGCTAGTTCTTCGGTCACCTCAAGCATTACATAAATCCTTCGCGCGAACATAAGAAGTTGAGCTGCATGACACGCATCATTATTTTCAAGTGCCCATGAAAAGTGCTCGAAAGCTTTAGCCTTTTCCCTTAAAATGCAGAGCAAATCCTCCCCCCATATCTTCGATTATCCTGTTAGCTGTCCGGGGAGAGAGACTCGCATCAATTGGAGCCAAATTTTCCTCCACGCTCTTCTTGACAATATTCCGCTGAGGAAATAAGGCCTTCTCCAGAGCCGCTTTGTCAATCCTGATCTGGCCTTTCAAGGAATCATACTTGTCCTTATGATGCGCTTCGTAATGCCGCCTAATATCAAATTCCTTGAACACCGAAATGCTCTCCATAAAGACGAGATAAACTACATTATATTTGCACGGCACAAACAGGTAATCGTAAGTCCACTGGTCGCTAACCATCCGACACTCGAAGTCAACTATTCTATTCTTTTGCTAATTTTGACAGCATCGTGGTGGAAGGGCAGGTTCACGATAAAACAGGAATTGAAAACGTACACGGATAGCCAAGAAAAGTGCACCACGACTTCCACCACTTCCAGCACTCTCATTCCGTCAAAATAAAACAAAGGACAGGCGCAAGGAGGGAGCAACAAGGGCGCAACAAGACGAAGAATTAGCATTTCTCGAGGCTGAAGTCCAACCAACACCTCTGCTTTTGCAAAACCGCCACCTCACGCGCTGGCAGCGGTTCGTACTGGTTCGATGGTGGTTTCCGATCACTGCATGGTGGTTTCCGATCACTGCATTACACACTAAAAAATGCAAAACAATTTTCTTCACTTTAATGAAATTAGCTACTGAGCTGTTTTTACTCAGAAAGTGGCTTAAATGATCACATTGTCATGGACAGGAAAATCTTTTATTTCAAGAGAGTGATATTTAGTTATTGACTTAGCCCATGAAAGATTCGAGTTTGCTAAAAAAAAATAGCCAAAGGCAACCCACGTGATCCAATTCTAATTTAAATAAATTTCTTTCACAAATGTTATATAATAAATTTCTGTGCTAACATGCCCTAAATGTTCATCTTTGCAACGCCCATTGACTGGTGACATGGTGAAATTAACCATCTGAGGGATCCATCTAACCATGTCCTTTTCGCTTGGTAGAAAGGCAGTGATGTGGCTTTCGTGTATGCCATATATGAAATTCTCCTGACTCCTATGGACGTGTTTCAAGCTTACAGTGACCTTTGTGACTTCTGTTGTCTGTTCCTGTCCATTCCCGTCAACTGCCCTCTTCCTGTACCAACATTTTTCTCCTTCCCGACTGTTTGGACTGCTGAACGAAGAATAACACGACTTTCAATTGTACTGAATACGATTTTAGGACAACCAATACCTGTTTTCTTGCTACCATGACAAATGCGAATGGCAATGTCTAACACAAGCAAAGCAACAGATGATGAGAGCAAGTTTCTCACCCACCGAACCTAGGCCTGTAAGTATGGATGTATGTAAATATTTAGCACATTGTCTACCGGCAAACCATAATTTGCTATGACATCAATGAACATTAATTGTCGCAAAAGTCGTTTTAAGAGAGAGAGAAAAGTATTTCATGTTCAATGGTCCGATAGTCATAAGAATCAGAAGGGAAAAGCGCTTGAACAGAAAGAGGTCAGTTGATGAGAACAGACAGGAATAGAGACCAAGAAACATTAGCTGTCCCAGTCATGGTAAAAGGAAAAACAGAGATACCCAATTGAGTCCGGAAAATTCGATATCTAGCAAACGCGAATGATACTGGTATTGGCGCTTCGTGGCAAATTCGGAGAGGTGTCGGGTATTCCCCTTAACCATGCTTGGGTATATTCATGGTACTCTATAGGGTGAAACCCGTAATAGGCATCATATCACATTCTTTTTCACGAGGAAAGCGTCTCTGCCATGCGTTAGCACACGATGTTATCTATTGAATATTTCCAGGTGCGGATTTTCACATCCGCGAGGACAGGCCCAGTTCATTACCGAAGAAACATCGAAGTGACCGAATCCGCACTGGGCCTCTCCAATAACCATTTCCTAGTCTCGCTGACCATGAAGATGCATGAGGCTCTGACCTTCCTCTCCCTTTTCATCCTCTATTCCGTTCCGGGGACAAGTGGGCAAAATCCGTGTCCCGATCGTAATGAAATCCTCCCCTGCACATGCTCCCAAGATGTAATCGACCGCACTGTGAATGTGGACTGTTCGGAGGCGAACTCGAGTGACGACATCCACGCTGCCTTCAATGACGTTAGCTGGCCCTTCAAAAATCTCACGTAAGCTGATGTTATGAGCAAGGTCGAGGAGAGAGCTCCATGCACACCAAGCAGAATTAACGCAATGCCAAGTCTCAGGAAAGCATTCTTTCTTTCACATCCCAGTCGTTGTTAAGAATAAAGGAAGTGAATACAAAATGACTCCCTGCGTTCGTCGTTCCCTTTTTTCGCAATGCAAAATGTAAGGATGCCTGTGGAAAGCAGACAATAAAAATATCACTGCAAGCTTTCCTATCCAATGCTATCTGTCTTTCAGTTACTCGATTGCTCCAGAAAGGATTTGCACAAGAAAATACCGCTTTCCCTGATGTGGCAATTCCGTTTCTTTATTTGATGTTTGGATAATGGATTCCTTGATTAGTTAAAACTTAAACGTTTTCGTGATACTGCTTGCTGCATACTCACGTTAGATAGTTAGGTGTGCTCCCAATGGCCGGATTAAGGGCTGCTGCTCCGGGGCCACAATCATACAGGGGGCGACGGTGGGAAATTAAAAACATTAAGTATTTGCGTAAAGTATCACGGGGGAGCGGGGGGAGCCACTTGGAGCTCCCCAGCCCCTCAAGGAATTCACTTGCCCCGTGCCTTGCAACTTGTTCATCCGGTCCAGGTGCTCCCATTTATTGAAACAGTGCAGGGCGTAATTGAATCTCTTCCAAAACCAATATGAAAGTTCCAGTGTCTCATCATTGACGCGGTGAGACCATGATAAGAATCCTGAATCTAACTACACTCCTTAATGCGCGGGGAGTCAGTGCGTGGCAATGAAAGGTTCGTACAGCCCCAGGTGGGAATTGGAAGAAGTATTTGGTAGGGATTTACTGTATATGACACTTCCCATAACGTTCATTGGAAAATGATGCAAAGTGCGATTATGTTCTTGACTGAAGAAAGCTGAGTCAAATCCTTACAGGTCCTTCACAATGGAATCCTCGGGTTCAGTATGGCTGATTCATCAAAATCACGGCTGTAACTTAATGCAGGTGGAATTTAATCATATTCTCACTCTGCTTGTAGAAAGTTTCTTCTGAGCTGGAACCAGGACGTTTCATTGTTACCCGAAGGAGTTTTCGGTGACATCAGTTTCGAGGACATTTTCGTTGCTTATACCTCCGTGGCCAGTCTTCATCCCACGGCCTTATTACCCTCGGAAGATCGACTTCGGAGATTGGCTATAGAGGATAGTTCCTTAGAAGAATTCCCTTGGGAGATTCTACCGGAACTTACCAATCTCAAGGAGCTCCGACTCTCTGGAAATGCATTTACCAGTTTGCCGCCACTTCGAAGTGCAAGTCTCGAGAACTTCTACATCTGGACCAATGATATCCTTCATGTCGATATTGGGTGGTCTCTCCCAAATCTGAGACTTCTCAACTTGAGTAAGTGTGAATGCCTTGAATGTTACGACCAAAAAATGAGACTTGTTCCATTACTTCGAATCTTTCTTTCGAGTTGGTGATGAGGATACATAGTGAAATACATGCACGCTAATGGCGATGCAGATTCTGAGGGGCTTAGGTCTTATCGTCCATGACCAAATTTCGATTCGAAGTTTGCAACTAAATGTCAATTTTGGAACAAAGATGCCACAAGAAAGTTCCGCCTGAATCTTGTTAATATCTGCCTGGTTTACAATTTTCACTTTGTTCATTTTCTTAGTTATCGACGTACTACGAAAATGTAATAGACGGGAAAACGATCACAGAGACACATAAACGGACAGGACGGGGCCATAAGTGATCTTTTCCCGTTACTATGCGTTACCCACGGCCGTCATTGGAAGCCCGTAAGCTGGTGACAGGGTCACGGTAATGTGAGACTCAAGACAATACGAGCTTGACCGCCTTAAGCCTCGAGATGTGCTCGAGGGTACGTTTCCTTTCATTGCCAAAAGCTCAGTTTTTTATGGTAGAGCTTATTACTAGAAAGTTGTTTACCATTGTGAAAATAATTTCGCTGTGTACGCGCCTTCGGGGCTTCACGATCCGAGAAAATCACCAAACCATTTCAAGGAACCGGATTTCATGGGCACTTCTACCAATGCGGCGAAGCTTCTAGTAGGGACAAGGATTCTTTCCTTCCGGCTTTTGTTAAAGAAATTGTGGTTGGTTGTGCCATGGGCAGTGGAAATCATGAATCTTTCAGACGCAGAGAATCCTTCCCAGAATCGTCCCTTTGAAATTGTTCCATTATGCAGTGCCTTTTATTATACCACGGGCAGATTATTTTTCCTCCACGAAAATTTTAGAAGCTACCCATTTCCACCTGTTATTGTCACTCATCATTCCCTCTCATTATTCTCCCAAGAAACTGTCTCAACATGAATAATGCCTCCCTGGGGGAGCATTTATTTTAACTCGACATCAGACAGGTTACGTATCCATTTAATTTGAGCTGTGCCTCAAGGGTTCATGCCTGACAAAGTCCATCACATCCTGTTCTGGGATAAGATTCTGTTCAGTGTAGAATCGAATAGGATAATTTATTATAAGAAGGTCGGAGAAAATGGATCAGAGGTCACATCGATTAATAGACAATCATGATTTTTACTTGCGGAAGTTCTCGATCCACTTCGCCTCACTCCTCACGCCCCATGAAGCAAAATAATTTGAATGAGATGTTATGGACCACTGTGAGCACGATGCGTTAATTCATTTACCTGGTGAGACTGAGTATCTTTCTCTCTTATTGAATTAGTTAATTAATTTGATTTCATTTGTTTTTTCGACTTCACCAGAATTCATAGAAAGTATTGGATTCAATGATCCTTCTGCAGATCGGAATCCACTCCAAGATGTCCCTGCTGGATTCTTCAGCGATATGGGGAACTTAAAGTACTTTTATTGTTACGTCTGTGACTTCGGACCAACACTATCGACCAAGTCTTTGGACTTCCGCAGTGCAACCATAAGTAATATTTACATAGGTAGCAACACAATCTCAACACTGGAGGTGGAAGCGATCACAGGTATTATCTATTTTCTGCACTCACATCGGGTGCTCATGGTGATCTTTATTCCTATTGCGACCAAGTCATTGGGTTCAGCGAACGTGCTGCGACACGTTCTTTCATGTGCAAGAAAGTTACCTATCCCCGCTCTAGGTTTGCAGCCCAACACGTATTTATATTTTGGTGATAATGAAATTCGGGAATTGACGGAGGCATCCTTCCGCCCCATGCTGGAGGTGCTGTCACTGGACACTGGGTACATCAATCTGTACGGTGAGATCCTGCTGGACCACAATGCTCAATGACGTATTCTTTCATCCCATCCCCTCCTCTGGTTGTCTGTACTGCAGGTAACCCTGTAGAATGTGACTGCAGCATAGCATGGGTAGTGCTTAATCCCTCCTTTCTGGCAAGCGTGGGGGGTGAATGCACAGATGGAACGGGTTTTCAAGACTTGGATCCGATTATTTTTCAAGACTGCAGCAGGAGTGACCATCCTTTGAAAGGCGACTATTCCACTTGGATCAACTCCAGTATGAAGTAAATGTGAAGACAGGATGGAATAACTTGTTTTTGGCCTTTGCTCCATATCTATAATATAGGGATAACAAATGATGAAGTGTCAGTGTTCTTTGGTTCCGTGTAATGATTCTTGGCGGGGACACCAGCAAAATACTAACTATTCCTGTGATGGACGATTAGAAGTGGGGAGGGAGACAGGCACTTTTGTCCTCCGTGTGAAAAGCGAGACCTACGCCTGGATCTTGCGGGCAGCAGGACTACTTTCCAATTCCTTGAAACTTCTAAGTGATTGCTCTATTAGGCTGTTGTAGCTACACTGTCATTGTCATCAGTGTCCTCAATACTGCAGCATTGATAAAATATTTTGCGATAGCATTCGTAAAAGTGTCTCAGCAACATTTCAAATGCTCAAAAGCGAAAAACGTTTCAGTTTCAAGGTTGTTTAGTGATATCGAGAGGTGATACACCCCTTTGGATACCATGCGTCGAGGTCCTTAATTTTAAGGCAGACTTGCTCCTCTCCAAGCTAAATATTTTTGTATTTTTTCAATTGTTTTTTAATATAGTATATCCGAGTTGCTTACTGCCTAGTCCCTTAAGTCAACATTCCCCCCTAATTGCTTGTCCATAAAAGCATCTAGTTTTTTCTTTAAAATAGCCAATGAAGGGATTCAAGCAAAAAGTCCTGTCTCAACTTGAGCCGCACTTTCGGTTTATGCATATTTAGTTTATTACCTCTCGTTCATTTGCTGTTATCGAACTGGAAGAACCTACCACACTCGACATTATCCATTTCTTTAATCATCTTGAAAGTTTGTATGAGATCGCCCTGCCCTAAATATTATCCTGGTGCATGTTCATGTCGAATTCTACATTGTCCAGGCAATCCTTTTCCCCCACAAAGCTTCCAAAAACGTATGGCTTTACATTTTATTTTACTTCAATTAAGCCAAAATACAAAGCGAATTGATATTTTCACAATATATAGAGGAGTATTTCTCATTTACTTTGATGACTCTTCCCTTCGATAACAAAGTAGAATGCATACATGTTTCTTTTGCGTGATGATTGTCAAAACATAACATTTTCTACAACGATGAACAGTTTTGTTTAAAGTGCAGAAACTTAAAAAATTTGCTGAAATCTTCTAAGAAACATCAATCGCCATATCACAGAGTGTAAAACATTTCTCCAGCCGTTAAGGTAACTGCGCCCTTTCTTCTCATTCTCTTTTCAGCCCTTTCTGAGGCAGATTCGTCTTGCTTTCGCTCTATGTCTTGTCTGCGTCGTATTGACATTCTACTCGGCGGCTTTCTTTTCCGTAATCAGCTTTCATATTTTGAAAGCATAATAAAAAATTCACAAAAGTAGCGAACAATCCTGCTCTGTACCCCTCTGTAGAAATTCAGAATGAAATTCTCGTTATCATGATCCGCCCACCATCTTCCGCCTAAAACCATAGGATGAGGTAGCCAAGGATGAATAGTCATCAGCTTGTGGTCGAATGGACTTGCAGGATAGGACAAGGAGTTTCGTTTTCCTCAATCATTTTCTTCTTATTGAATATGAAGGTGGGAATAAGAACAAACTTATAAAAAAGAAAATGGGCTGTTTCACTTTGTCTCACTGATCCTCCACACCTTCATCCAGATCAAGTGCCAAAGTAAGGTATCAGTGAGACAGAGTGAAGAGATATCTGAAATGACAAATCTCTCAATTCAATGAACATGTTCTACCAAATTCAGAGAGACAATGAGATAGAAAATCAAGATAGTATCAGGTCTAAAAGTACAATTACAAAGAGTTGAGTCAGAAAATCTAAAATTCGAGAAGAATGTGAAATGTCTCAAGGAGGAACTTGATGAGTTCTCGAAGTCACGAATGAAAGAAAGCGCTCATGCAAAAATTGATGAAAGGACATTTTTCTTCAGGACGATTCTAAAGGGAGGAAAGAGGCCAAAAGAAAACATTTACATATGTTCGAGGACAACTGAAAACATCACTTCTTGATCTATCAACCTCTGCCACGTGGTACGGCAAATTATTAGAATATGCTCCAGGACTTCAGCATGTAGTCCTCCAACTTATGGGGCATCGGGGACACATCATGGATGATTTTGAGAAGCTTTGCGTCCTGAGCTTTGATGAAGTGAAATTTGTTTATGAATTCAGTTAAGGTGCATCATGTGGAACTTTATATTTATCATGCAATCAAATGATGGTAGCAATTTTTGGGGGATTATTTTCATGTTGGAAACACCCTATATTTCATGACTTTGGATTTTTGGATTTATATAGTTGAAGGATGCATGTGGCAGGCTTCCACGTTGGAGCCAATGTCTGTGATTTTGACAGGCCAAAACGTGTAATTGTTGAAGTAACTCCGCCTTCCACACGAGGAGAGCTATTGCTGACACCACTGTGATCCAGCTCAATTCTTTATATTACTTTGCGGAAGCCCCTCACCCTATGGAACTGATTCGCAATCATCTGATTAGGGGATGGCATGCATGTCTAGCTTTTGTCCTGTTCACTCTTTATGAACAATCGCCAACAGTTGCATCATGAATACAGCTGTATCCCCACAGCAAACCCTATGGAGGCGAGAAAAAAGGCGAATCATATCTCTGAATATCTAGAAGACAGTCCTGGCCGTGGGGTTTAGGTGTGAGTGCCACTTGATATGGGAATTCCTGGTCGTATATGTCGATGTGAGTGATAAGGTTTCCCTTGCCACCCAACAATAAAATATCTTTGTTTTTATTTAGAAAAATAGGTTGCTAAAGGTATGGTGGGCTCCGCATGTGGTGGACCAACACATGACTCCCGCCCACCATGGTGAGATCCTCCCAACACCAGGGCTGCCAGAGTGCAAAACCCTGGTGGAGCTGGTGTGTCGTAGCCTTGGGAAGGTTTCCCATGGCTAAAGTGCGTCGACGTGTCTGGAAACCAGATCCGTCTTCGCGCCTGGATCCCTCCCGTTTTCGGGTTTTAGCTTTTACATTTTAGATACAGTGAAAACTCGTTAACTCGAATCCAGATAAGTCGAAATTCCGCTTATCACGAACTTGAATGCTTGGTCCCGGCGGAACCCGGGAATCTCCCCGATTCCCCCGGGGAAACCCCGGCGGAATCTCGAATTTCCGGATATCTCGAATGACACTCCTGATAACGATTTTCTCACGGTTAACTCGAATTCAGGATGTGAAGGGGGAAAAATTCTTCTCGTGGGACTTTTCGATTTTTGAATAGGATGAATGAAAAGAAACCCGTTCGGGAGGGTGTTCTTTTGTTTCTTTTTTTTTGTCTGCTTCCCCCTCCTCCCACGCAGACGTCTGTGGAGAGAATTAAATCTGAGGATTAAAACCGAAAAGCTTCGGCAATAAAAAAACCAACCTCCAACATTCGCTCTGTCTATTTATCGCTCTTACTCCGAGCCATTCTGGTCATATTCTACTTCCTTTGCGCCATTTGTGTGGAATGAGTTCACTCAAGAGGAAATTGAAGACTCTGACGCTCGAAGAGAAGGTGCACTTACTTCGAACTGTCGAAGAAGGCCAACTGAAGAAGAAAGACATTACAGAGAATTTCGGGATTCCTCCCTCTACACTCTACCATAATACGCAGCAAAGATAAGGTTTTGAGTGCACATGAGAAGCGCCTATTTACAGCAAGTTGCAAGAAGATGAAGACAGCGAAGCATGAGGACGTGGAATCGGCTCTCCTGAGATGGTTTTGTGAGGTTCGTGACAGCACCACTCCCGTGTCCGGAACACTGATGAGAGAAAAGCTGATCAACTTGGAAAGGAACTTGGAGTTGATTTTAGTGCAAGTGTTGGTTGGCTGGAACGATTGAAGCACTGTCATGGCATCGTGTTCCGACGAATTTGTGGGGAAAGTGCAGATGTTCCACAGAAGGAATGCGAAAACTGGAGCGAGGAAGAACTCTTGCATCTTCTAGGTTGCTACAGACCTGAAGATGTGTTTAATGTTGATGAAACGTGCAATGCTCTACCGCCGTCTTTGAGCAATGCCAATGATGCACTGGCGATTGTGAGAAAATTCCTCCTGTCGCGAGGGGAGGTGCCCGTCGACTTGTTCGAGGCAGTAGGGAAATTGGAGGACTTCCACTTTTCTATTGCGAGTTCTTTTACAAAGCAAATGAAGATCACTGATTACATGTCAGAATGGATTAAACCAAGAGAGCCCCAGGTGAAAGGCGTTGCAATAAATGAATTTTGCATGTGGAGTATTAAAGTTTCATTTGTGATGAATAAAAGCCTTATAATGGGAAGGTCTTCGCTCCGTGAAATCGGACTTTTGAGGGCGGAAAAATCGCCCTCTGGTTATGTCCCTAAACGTGAGATTTTTTTTTTTTGGGGGGGGCGATTCCTGATAACTCGAAACGATTTGCCCGGTCCCTAAGCTGGAGCTAACTGGAGCCTAACCCTAACCTGAAGCCTAACTGGAGCTCCGGAAGGGTCCCAACGTCGTCAAGGCGTTCGCTTCCAGGCAGAGGACCTCCAGCCGCGTCAGCCGCTCCAGGGCGTCCCACGGGAACTCGGCGACGGCGCTGGACCAGACGAACAGGGTGTGAAGGCGGTCCCCCGGAGGGGAGGAGGACTGAGGGATGCACGCGGCTCACGGCCGTCGCCCGGAGGTCGATGACCTCGAAGGAGATCTCGCCGAGAGCGCCTTCTGGGATCTCTTTCACCGCCAGGTTTTTGTGTAGTGGGAACACCCTGGAAGAAGGACGACGAAAGAAACGCTTTCAAATATATTCGCGATTATTCTTTTCTAGACGCTTCGGTTTCGCTGCATATTGTGTGGGGAAGCGAAGTAAATACCTATTTCTGCTTTTCTACAGGAAGGTTTCAAGGTCTTACAGCTAATAACCCACGTTGCTCGAATACGTTCATTCCGACATTCCACGTTGTCGAGATGGTAACTACGAACAATTCATTCACGGCGCGCCTGAAGTGCAGGGGTAGCGCTGTTAATCTGAGCGTCAAGGTCAGGTCCACACTGGCACCTAATTAACTCTATTATTTCCTAAATTTTTGTTTCTTTCTTAATGTGTTTACATAAAACTTCATTACTGCGGCAGCAATCCTCGAAAGATTGCTCAGTCCTGCCAGTCGAGGCATACAAGTAAGTCGAAACGTACAAGGAGAGGTAGAAACGGGCACATGCCGCAGACGCTTTTTTTCCGATAGAGTACTCCAAATAGGCGCAAGATGGTGATTGATTTCCCCCATGCGTTCTAGCTCGAGTGGAGGCGCGTCAAACCTCATGAGAAGAGATTCCGTCCTTTTCTGGATTCTTCTCATCGTGTTGCTTCTGAAATAGGATTCGGTGAGAGTATAATAATCGTGTTTCGACGGCGATCGATGGTTCTGGAATTTTTTTAATGTTTGGGTTTAGCACTAATAACGAGTTTCATTTTAATTTTGAGGTTTCATTTTAGTTGTTTGGCTGGAGCGGGTACAATATTTGTGTGTATTGGCCAACACATTTGATGAAATGCTAAGGAGAGGCACTCCAAATGGAATG